ACTGATGTGTATTTGTGTATTTGATCTTTTTAACTACCGTACTCATAATTAGCTCTAAATGATAAATTGTCCTTACACTGAAAGAGTACCAGTATTAGTTACTACAGCATGATAAAAAATTCAAGCAGGCATTCTTTTGGAATACCATTGAAGAGCAAGCTACGCCAGGGAATAAGTCAGGTTTATAAATTTAGTAACAAGCTTCATAAAAGTCTGGTAAATGACACTTGAACTTACCATGGAGGAATTGAATCGTGCCCCCCAGATTTCTTTTCCGAATAGCATGCTGACAGTTGCCCCTGGCTCCATCTTTCCTCCATTCATGACTGTTAGCTTCATTGTTAATCTCACTTCAAGTTCTTCTCTTCCTAGTGCTACACCATTCTTTGAACTCCAAGATATTAGAGCATACATCTGAAAGCGAATGAAGAGGTCACATTCATCCATAAAAAATGGTTTAGTTCAATTAGGAATTGAGATAAAATTTGCTTACAGTTTCTTGCATGATCAAACATGTCAAAGTTTCAAGTAAGCTAAGTTATGATCTCCTTTCACCTCTAATCACATCGGTTTGCAGCTTCAAAGCAAATTCACAACTTCAGCTAAGCTTAAGTACATGATAAAATCTTACCTTTTAGAAGTTTCAAGGAAAAACGGGAATTGACGATGTAGAATCTTCCGTAAGTGAGAAGGAAGACAGCCACGGAGGAATCTAGCAACCTTTGTAAACTCAACTAGACTCTGAGGAGTATCACACATCGATCACATTCCATTTTAATTCTGGGAAGCATGTACCCTATTGGATAGCGAGAATTTCACACCTAAAAGATGTCATTTGATTTTTACTGCACTTCAATTAGCTTCAATTCGGTCGCGCTCTTTTAGCTTCGCCGCTTTCAATTTTACCGCCATTGCACCAGGTAACCAGGCTTTTCTGAAATAAAGGAATATGGTGGCCGACTTGCATGTAAGGGTGCACAAATTGCAAGGGAAATTAAAAGGTCAAATGTCCAAGTCAAGGTGGAGTAAATGTTGGTTACATGACCCCACAGTAGAAGTGCCCAGAACAACGAGATGGTGACGTAACATTGAGTTTAGCGATCCTGCTTCTGATGAGGAAATTGATGACATTCGCAGTGAGTTTTCATCAGAAGTATACGAAGACTTGGGAAAGAATACTTCACCATTTAAGAAGCGAAAGCTTTTAGATGAATGTTTGCAAAACAAAAATAGTGATGGTCAATCTTTTTACGACAATGATTCGCCAACTACGGTTGGTGGCCAACTGCTCAACTGCTCCCAGNCTTTGTAAACTCAAATAGACGCTGTGGAATATCACACATCGATCACATTCCATTTTAATTCTGGGAAGCATGTACCCTATTGGATAGCGAGAATTTCACACCTAAAAGACGTCGTTTGATTTTTACTGCTTCAATTCGGTCACGCTCCTTTAGCTTAGCCGCTTTCGATTTTGCCGCCATTGCGCCAGGTAACCAGACTTTTCTGAAATAAAGGAATACGGAGGCCGACTTACACGTAAGAGTGCACGAATTGCAAGGGAAATTGAAAGGTCAAATGTCCAAGTCAAGGTGGAGTAAANAGGCCGACTTACATGTAAGAGTGCACGAATTGCAAGGGAAATTGAAAGGTCAAATGTCCAAGTCAAGGTGGAGTAAACGTTGGTTATATGACCCTACAGTAGAAGTGCCCAGAACAACGAGATGGCGACGTAACATTGAGTTTCGTGATCCTGTTTCTGATGAGGAAATTGATGACATTCGCGGTGAGTTTTCATCAGAAGTATACGAAGACTTGGGAAAGAATACTTCATCATTTAAGAAGCGAAAGCTTTTAGATGAATGTTTGCAAAACGAAAATAATGATGGTCAATCTTTTTACGACAATGATTCGCCAACTACGGTTGGTGGCCAACTGCTCAACTGCTCCCAGGTAGATCGTGAATTTGCAGAATTTGGCCGAGTAGAGGACAAAACGGTTAATTGTGAAGGTGAGTCTGAAGCTTTTCACAATAAGCTTATTTATAACTCCTGTCTGAACTTTAGCTTTTGGAAAATCCGTCCAGGTTTACCCAGCAACCTTTAAAATGTATTTTTGCTTTGAAATAGAAAGAGATAAGGATTCTGCTACCAGATTGACACATATTTGTGATCCAGACGAAGGGACTTCAACATCAGGTGTATAGGAGGACGAAGTCAGTGAAGGGGATGCAAATGGCGATTGCTTTGACAACTTTACCACTGAGAAAGATCCTGAAGTGTTTCATTATCATGACGGCCCTTTATTAGATGATTTGTCTCTCAATCATGAGATTCCAGACATGGAATTCTTTAAGGAAACCTCTGCTTCAAGCCAAAGCAAAGAAACAGACAAAGATGACTTGCCTTTGTATGAGGACTCCACACTTAGTGTTGCAGAGAGTTCCTTGTTAGTCATGGCCTTTGCTGTACGTCATAAACTTTCTGGAATAGCCCTTGAAGATATGTTAGAACTTATTCACTTCCACTGCCCAAAACCTAACAACTGTATTACTGAACTGAAGGAATTTCAACTATTTTTCCAAGCTCTAAAGCACCCAATTTTAAAACATTTTTATTGTCCAAATATGATTTGTCAAGTTTACACTGGCACATCGCCCCCCGAGAGTGGAGCAAACTGTACAGTATGTGGAACCTCACTAAGTTGTTCATGCTACTTCATTGAAATACCCATTTTGGAGCAGCTAAAGACAATTTTATCACGTAAGTTCATTGCTTTTAACATAGCCAATTTGAAGTCATGAAGTTTGACAGTTTTGGTGAGACTTTGTACCTGTAATGAGCCTGTTTTGAAAATGAGTTAAACTTAGGGGTTAATTGCTAACAGTTCAATTATTTGTAGTGGAAACAAAACGTTTGGTTTTGTGAAAATACATGTACATGTAGATTCATTGATGGAATTTTTGCCATATCGGGTACAGAATCTGGTAATTACACTTGTAGGTGTGGCCTGGAACATACGGAAAGACAGTCATACTCAATGTGAACTAGTGATAAGTGCATTTTGTCTACATATTGGTACTTTTATCTATCAGTCACTACACTTTTTAATCCATTTACCCATGTTGTGAAGTAGTTGTTGTTTGAGATCCT